GAGGGATTTGGGATCCAGAGGGATTTGGGACCAGTCAGGAAGGGCCGATCCCGGTGCCATTCCCGGAGCATTCCCGACCCTCCTGGCACAGGGAGTGAACGGGAAATCCTGGGAAAGGGGAAATCCTGGGAAAGGGGAAATCATGAGAATCCCAGGGAAAACCCCGGCACAGCTTCCCAAGGAAAGCCTGGAATCTGCACGGAGGGATTTGGGATGGGAGCAGGGATTTGGGATGGGAGCAGGGATTTGGGATTTGGGATGAGAGCAGGGATTTGGGATGGGAGCAGGGATTTGGGATTTGGGATGAGAGCAGGGATTTGGGATGATTTGGGATCCAGAGGGATTTGGGATCCAGAGGGATTTGGGACCAGTCAGGAAGGGCCGATCCCGGTGCCATTCCCGGAGCATTCCCGACCCTCCTGGCACAGGGAGTGAACGGGAAATCCTGGGAAAGGGGAAATCCTGGGAAAGGGGAAATCCTGGGAAAGGGGAAATCCTGGGAAAGGGGAAATCCTGGGAAATGGGAAATCCTGGGAAATGGGGAATCCTAAGAATCCCAGGGGAAACCCCGGCACAGCTTCCCAAGGAAAGCCTGGAATCTGCACGGAGGGATTTGGGATGTGGGATGGGAGCAGAGATTTGGGATTTGAACAAGGATTTGGGATGGGAGCAGGGATTTGGGATTTGGGAATTTCAGGACCAAAACCTCTCTGGAGCCTTGGGAAAACCCCCCTGGATCCAGAGGGGCCGGGGAGCTCCCCCAGATCCCAATCCCAGAAATCCCGGCCCCTGGAGCGGGAGATTCCGGATGCCTCCCACATCCCAAGCCAGGATTTCCATGGAAAAATCCCAAACCATCGGATCCGGGAGCTTCCCTGAGCCGTTCCTGCTTTTCCCCAGGATGGGATCACCCCCAGTCCAGGTTTTCCATGGAAAAATCCTGGACTGAGGTGCTGGGAGCAGGAATTCCATGGGATTCCTGAACCCCCCCGGATCCGGGAGCTTCCCTGAGCCGTTCCTGCTTTTCCCCAGGATGGGATCACCCCCAGTCCAGGTTTTCCCCCGGAGCCGGGAGCTTCCCTGAGCCATTCCCATTTTTTCCTGTCAGGAATGCACCCACATCCAAGTTTCCCCAGGATGAGATCACTCCAATCCAGGTTTTCCATGGAAAAATCCCAGATTTAGGTGCAGGGAGCAGGAATTCCGTGGGATTCCTGAACCCCCTCCAGAGCCAGGAGCTTCCCTGCTTTTCCCCAGGACGGGATCACCCCCAATCCAGGTTTTCCATGGAGAAATCCCAGATTTAGGCAGAAGGAGCAGGAATTCCATGAGATTCCTGAACCCCCCCAGAGCCAGGAGCTTCCCTGCTTTTCCCCAGGACGGGATCACCCCCAATCCAGGTTTTCCATGGAGAAATCCTGGATTTAGGCACAGAGAGCAGGAATTCCATGAGATTCCTGAACCCCCCCAGAGCCAGGAGCTTCCCTGCTTTTCCCCAGGACGGGATCATCCCCAATCCAGGTTTTCCATGGAAAAATCCTGGATTGAGGTGCTGGGAGCAGCAATTCCATGAGATTCCTGAACCCCCCCAGAGCCAGGAGCTTCCCTGCTTTTCCCCAGGATGGGATCACCCCCAATCCAGGTTTTCCATGGAAAAATCCTGGATTGAGGTGCTGGGAGCAGGAATTCCATGAGATTCCCAAATCACCCCAGAGCTGTTCCCACTTTTCCCCTTCAGGGCTGCACCCACATCCAGGTTTTTCATGGAAAAATCCCGGATTTAGGTGTAGGGAGCAGCAATTCCAGGAGATTCCTGAACCCCCCCGGAGCCAGGAGCTTCCCTGCTTTTCCTCAGGACGGGATCACCCCCAGTCTAGGTTTTCCATGGAAAAATCCTGGATTGAGGTGCTGGGAGCAGAAATTCCATGAGATCCCCAAATCACCCCAGAGCTATTCCCCCTTTTCCCCTTCAGGGCTGCCCCCACATCCAGGTTTTTCATGGAAAAATCCCGGATTTAGGTGTAGGGAGCAGCAATTCCAGGAGATTCCGAAATCTCCCCAGAGCTGTTCCCACTTTTCCCCTTCAGGGCTGCCCCCACATCCAGGTTTTTCATGGAAAAATCCCAGATTTAGGCGCAGGGAGCAGGAATTCCATGAGATTCCCAAATCACCCCAGAGCTATTCCCACTTTTCCCCTTCAGGGCAGCACCCACATCCAGGATTTTCATGGAAAAATCCCAGATTTAGGCGCAGGGAGCAGGAATTCCATGAGATTCCTGAACACCCCCAGAGCCAGGAGCTTCCCTGCTTTTCCCCAGGACAGGATCACCCCCAAACCAGGTTTTCCATGGAGAAATCCCAGATTTAGGCACAGAGAGCAGCAATTCCATGAGATTCCTGAACCCCCCCCGGAGCCGGGAGCTTCCCCGAGCCATTCCTGTTTTTCCCCAGGATGGGATCACCCCCAATCCAGGTTTTTCATGGAAAAATCCCAGATTTAGGTGCTGGGAGCAGGAATTCCAGGAGATTCCTGAACCCCCCTGGAGCCGGGAGCTTCCCCGAGCCGCTCCCACTTTTCCCCAGGATGGGATCACCCCCAATCCAGGTTTTTCATGGAAAAATCCCAGATTTAGGTGCTGGGAGCAGGAATTCCATGAGATTCCCGAACCCCCCCGGATCCGGGAGCTTCCCCGAGCCATTCCCGCCTTTCCCCCTTTTCCAAGCCCTGCCCGAATCCCGAATTCCTGCCGGAGGTGAGAGGGAAAAGTGCGGCGGGGTTTTCCCAATCCCCGTTTCCGCTCCAGACGGCCCCGAGCTCCCGGGGATTGAACATCTGGGAAATCGGAGCAGAATTCCCCCTTTTCCCTCCCCTTCCCACCCTCGGGAACAAAGGGAGAGACGGAGCCGCACGTGCGGGGGTGGAAAACGGGGGAGGCCTGGGATGGGGATGGAAAACGGGAATTGGATCCCAAAAAATGGGGATGGAAACAAGAGAGGATGGGATGGGGATGGAAAATGGGAATTGGATCCCAGAAAATGGGGATGGGAAACGGGGGAGGCCTGGGATGAAATGGGGATGGAAACAAGAGAGGATGGGATGGGGATGGAAAATGGGAATTGGATCCCAGAAAATGGGGATGGAAACAAGAGAGGATGGGATGGGGATGGAAAATGGGAATTGGATCCCAAAAAATGGGGATGGGAAACGGGGGAGGATGGGATGGGGATGGAAAACGGGAATTGGATCCCAAAAAATGGGGATGGGGAAAAGGGAGAGAATGGGATGGGGATGGAAAATGGGAATTGGATCCTAAAAAATGGGGATGGGAAATGGGGAAAGGTTTGGGATGGGGATGGAAAACGGGAATTGGATCCCAAAAAATGGGGATGGAAAACGGGAATTGGATCCCAAAAAATGGGGATGGAAAACGGGGGAGGCCTGGGATGGGGGTGGAAAATGGGAATTGGATCCCAAAAAATGGGGATGG